TCTCTTTTCAAATTCGATGGTGAGATTGTCTACATTGGGTTCGGTAATTCTCATGGTGAAATGTGTACTGCTCCTTCGGTGAAGTGGGATGCTGGCAGCAGTGCGGTGCCTCGACTAACTCTGGTTCCCAGTTTGGAAGAAACTGGAAGTTTTGCTAAATTCGAAAGCATCGAAGGCTCCCACAATGATTTCTCTTTTGCTGCTAGTGGACCGCCTGCAGTGCGACTTCTGGGTTACCCTGCTCCAAGTTCCCCAGCCTCATTTAGACGCATAGGAAACAAGTGGAAATCCAATGGGCCTCCTGGCACACTCGTGACATCAAGCAAGTGGAATTTTGTAATCACATCGGCTTAAGAATTGTGTTGTGTGTTCATTAGTTGCACTTTTCTTAAGACTCAACACACACTGGAAACCAAGGAACGGGTGGAGCTGCAAATTCCCAAGAAGAGGCACCTTTGAGCTCTGGAAGCAATCAGTCCTCATTAGACTCGGCTGACGGTTACTTTATGGTTGTGATTTCGGAAAAGCATGCTCAGGTCATCGGGTTTCCGTCTAGGAATTGCTACAACAGGGTGGGTCATTCATTTTAAAAAGGTTTTTTGACCATCGGTTCCAGCTTTTCGTAACTTAGTCACGGCTTGTTAACATTGGCATGTTTATTTTTTACATAATTAATAAAATTGGTTTCATTCACAAGATACTCCTCTCATTTATGACGGCATAATTACAGTCGTTGAGGAAGTTTCCCGAGTTGTTGCTGCTCCTTAAATGACTCACTTATTAAGCTTCCAGGTCTCCTTCTCACGGTTATTGGTGAAACTTTATTTTAGCACATAACGTTGAAAACTGTTTATGGAGAAAGTAGCAGCCAGATTATTGCCAGAGCTCTTTGCCTATTCTTCGGTACATTTAAATCCCACCTTTTATCTGGAACCTAAGAAGTGGATTATAGAGTTGATTCAAAGGAGGGAGCACTTGGGCGCAGAATAGCCATAACTTTAGATGTCAAACCATATACAATGATGAGAAAATAGTTGGAAAGCACGATTTTTTGCTTCATTTTGTATGTTACTCTGCAATTTGTGCACGGAATAAATAGGAATCTTGCTGATTGAAGTGAACCAGATTTCATATTTCTACTGTGCAAGCTAAATCATTGAAGCCTAGAGGGCTGTTTGGCAGCACGAAGATAGTTCGATTCTGCTGTAGCCCAAACTCGTAGAGTACTCATGCATCACTCACACCCGGGCAAAACAGCCTAAACCGGTTACCGAAGGTCTAGAAGTTCTTTATTTATGTGCTCAGCATTAGATCATCATGGGCCGTTCTCTTGAACATTGAACTGATAGAAAAGTTAAAAGTAAACGTTGGAATGAG